GAGGAGTTGGAGGAGGAGGAGTTGGAGGAGTTGGAGGAGGAGGAGGAGGAGGAGAAGGGGGAGGAGGAGGGAGGGGTAGCAGTGGGGATAGGAGGAGGAGGAGGCGGATGAGCTGGAGGACGGGAAGGAGATGATAATGAGTGAGGATGGGTAGGAGGGAGGCGGGGAGACCAGGGTGATGCGAGCGCGCCTCGGCATCAGCTCGTTTAGCTCAGTGTGCTGTACTTGCTCGAGTCGGCAGTTGGCCCTCCTGATGCGCGTCGGCGGTGCTTTCCTCTCCGTCGCACCGGCCCGTCCCGAGCCTATGCTTGCGGCTGGTCCTCTGATGACGTGGTGGGTTGTGCTTCTCACTTTTGCCCGCCCCACCTGTGCTGCGACAGCAGTCGCTGCGTCTTCCCATGCCCTCGCAGTAGCCTCTGCTGCCGCTCCTCCTCCCCCGCCTCCCGCCCCTTCCTCCTCCGCCCTACCCCGCGTCGCCCCGCCCCCACCGCGCCAGTCATGCCGCCCCCTCATTCCCGCCCGGCCCATTTCCGCCCCGTCCCGCCCCAGCTCGGGGGCGGCAAAGAGGGGGGTGATGACTAGGGGGGGGATACCATGGCGGGGGCCATGATATTTCCCCAGATTTTATGGCGCCTCTTCTCATTTCACCACGTCCCTGGCCCCCCCGCTGGGCCGCGCACATGCCGCCAGTCAGGATCTGCACCCCCCCCGCTTAGACACCGCCCTCTTGGCCGCTCCCGCGGCCCGTCCCGCCCCCGCCGAGGATCCTCCGCCTGCTCCGCCTCGCGCGGGCGGTCCGGCTGCGGCCGGAGTTCAAGGAGATGTGGTCGCTGCTGAAGGGGGTCCCGCGCCGCTCGCGCCCAGCCAGCCCAACGGCCACGATGGCGAAAACGACGGCGCCGGCGCCGGCTGCGGCGGCGACGAGGGCGTGGAGGAGTGCGGAGGAGAAAGAGGAGAGGGGGAGGAAGAGGGGGAGGAAGGCAAAGTAGGTGCACTCACGCCATATCTGACATGATACCCCTCCCTCCCATCCCTTTCCATTGCGCTGATTTCTTCTCGATCCGCGGACGCGTGTCATGGCCGACATGGATATATTCGATTCAAACCATATTCCATCGTGTTACGCGCAATCGGAAACGGGGAGCTGCTTACATAGAAGGAGGAGGAGGAGGAGGAGGAGGAGGAGGACGAGGAGGAGGTGGCCGGTTAGTAGGAGGAGTAGCAGGAGGAAGAGGAGGAGGAGAAGGAGGAGGAGGAGGAGGAGGAGAAAAGAGAATGACGAGGACGAACAGCAGCAGGAATTGAAGCGGAATGAGTGGGAGGAGCAGGAGGACCAGGAGAAGGAGTAGGAGGGAAAATGACGGGGGCGACACCGAACAAACGAACTCGGATCCAGAAACGGGGCCCGCGCTGGGGCAAGAGCGCCACTCTGAACGACGGGAGCACAGCGCCGATCCGAAAATGAGGCCCACGTTGCAGCGGGAGCACAATTGGTGGAAGCACCGAAAGCAATCGGAGGGTAAGCACACGCAGTACCACCCATGTCTGAAATATGGTGTGCGAAGAAAATCACAAACGAGGAGGGCCGGAGAGGGATCCAGGAGGAGAGGAGGAGGAGGAGGAGGAGGAGGAGGAGGAGGAGGAGGAGGAGGAGCAGGAGGAGGAGGAGGGGGAGGGGGAGGGGGAGGGGGAGGGGGAGGAGGAGAATGGTGATGAGGAGGAGGAGGAGGAGGAAGAGGGAGGAATAGGAGGAGGAGGAGGAGGAGGAGAAGGAGAAGGAGGACTTGGACCTGGACCACTGCTGCTCCTCCACTGCTGCTCCTCCACTGCCGTGCCGAGGCCACGAGATCCCTCACGATCTGTCTGCCTGTCGGCCCTTGCCAATCCCACTGCCCGCAGATCCGACTCAATATTATGATTATTATTCTTCTCATTATTAGGGGAACAAAAAGTGGCATAAACATAAAAAACTCGGAGGTCCGCGCGGATTTCTCGGATCGGCGCTGGGGCCCCCCGGCGCCGCCCCTGGCGGGCCCGCGCGCCAGGGAGGGGGGTCCAGCGCCGATCCCATTGTAGGCCTCCCAGATTGGGGTCCGAGTAGATGGGGTCGGAGGGCGCGCCGCATCGACGATGCATAGCCCATGCAATCGCTGACCGATGGGCTCGACGTGGAGCCCGATTTTTCCACGCCGACGGCGCCGATGCCTCGCCGACGTCTCCGATGCATCGCCGATGCATCGTCGATGCATCGCCAATGCATCGCCGATGTATCGGCGATGCGGCGCGATCCTGGGACCCCATCTACTCCGACCCCATCTGGGAGGCCTCTATTATCAGCCTTTGGCCAGTCTTAGACGTATTGGATAAGCGTGGGAGGCGAGAGCGTGGGGGGGCGTGGCATGCGCAATCAGGAACAACCACACAGAGTAAAGTGAAGGAAGTGGAGGGGGCGGATGGGCAGGATGATGATCAGGAGAAGCGTCGTGAGACCGGAGAAACAGTCCAATCATAATCTTTTTAGGGCTATGGGGCTATAGGGCTACAAGGCTATAAGGCTATAGGACTATTGGGCTGTAGGGCTATTAGGGCTGTAGGGCTATAGGACAATAAGGCTATCAGGCTATAGGGATGCAGGGCTATAGGGCTAGAAGGCTTTAAGGCTGTATGGCTATAGGGCTACCGGGCACCCGGGCACCCTGGCGTGCCGCCGAAATCGGCGACGTACTTCACCTAAGCATATGAATCCGCTAGGACCCCTACAGAGGCAAGCTCTGATTGGGGAAATAGAACACTGAACGAGGAGGCCCAAGAGGCCTATAAGACGACTCCAAGAGCGTGCATGGACGCGGGACCCGAACCGACATTTCGAGCCCTCGCCCCCGAGAGGCCCCCAAGCGGCTCCCACGAGGCCCAAAACATCCTCTCCTGAGACCCTCGAGAGCCGTGCGCAGAGACTCCAAGAAGCATCCTTGAGGACTCTGGCCAACGTCAGCGTCGTCGTCGTCGTCGCCGCCGCCGTTGTCGTCGTCGTCGTCGTCTCCCTCCCGGGTCGGCGGCACCAGCCGTAAGGCCTTCGTAATATAGCAATGAACGAGGAGGACGAGGAGGAACAGTAGCAGCAGCAGCAGCAGCAGCAGCAGTAGGAGCAAAAGCTTGAGTAACAAGATTTTCAGGGGAAGGCCTAGGAGGGGTTCTAAACGGGGCGACAGCGATGAGGAAGGACTCGGGTCCAGAAGCGCGGCCAACGATGCTGCTGGAATACTGATATTTGGAAGACCGGCGAACAGTGAACCACATTGAATGCATCGTGAAATACCTACGGTTGATATCATGCGCATGGACAATAATGTGCGGGAGCAGCGTCTGCGAGCCAACCCTCTATCAGGGGAGAGACGGGAACAGATAGTGGAGGAAAAGTGTGGACGGATGGGGGTGCGAGGGGAAAATAAAAGGCGGGGGAGAAGGAGCGAGCAGCAACAGGAGAAGGCAGGAGGAAAAAGACGAGGAGGGTGTCGGAGGAGGAAGTGGTGGAGGAGGAGGCGGGAGGGGGGAGAAGCAGTCAACGCCTCCCGCGGGCACGCGCGTGAGAGGGGGCAGGAGTGAGTGGGTCGAGGAGCGAGGAGGGAGGTGAGAGGAGCAGCCAGTGCTTCCCGCAGGGAGCGGGAGGGGGCGCGAGTACGAGAGGAGACAGGAGGGGGGGGGAGGAGGAGGGGGAGGTGGAGGGTCAGGTAATCTCCCCCTGCCTGCTCTTCTCCAGCCAGGCTTGCGCACGCGAGGGGGTGCGTGAACCCAAGAGTCATCAACGATGTTGGAATAAGCCTTCCCTCCAAGCTCCCTTGGCATAGGCCCCATACAATGGTTCATTTCCAGTGAGGGAGCTGGATCGTCGGAAAACAACCGCTTCAAGACCCTGAATCATGCCAAAGCATTGGTCTCTGGAGTCCAACGCCACGGATCAACCTGGCTGTTGCGTCTTTACGATCCTGAATCGTGCCCGAAGGCCATTCTTGGAACTTCAACACCGCGAACCAACGTAACTGATTCACCCGCATTCTCCTGAATCTGACCAAAACACATGTCTGGTGATCATGGGAATCCTTAAAACTCTTGCATCTTGTATAAACAAATGTGCGAGGCGCTGAGGCGAGAGCCAGATGTTGAAAATGAACCGCCCTCAACGCGTGAAATTCTGGCAACGTTTTACAACGAATGTGCTCGGCGCTAAGGCGAGAGCTACATTTTGAAAACGGGCCGCCCTCCATTTGTGAAACGGTTGCCCGTTTTACAGTTTCAGAGTCAGATTTGGTGAGGAAGTCTCAGGCAAAACGCCGGGCCCGCCCTAAAACATTTGACTCGGGTGCGGCAGTGAGGGGATCTGTACAAGGAACAGGAATGGAGGAGGAGGACGAGGAGGAAGAGGAGGAGAAGGAGGAGGAGGAGGAGGAGGAGCAGGAGGAGGAGCAGGAGGAGGAGGAGGAGGAGGAGAGGAGGAGATGAGCGAGGGAAGGATGGAGGAAGGAGAGGGACAACAGGGAGAGGGGTGTGAGGAGGAGAGGAGGAGGAGGAGGAGAGAGAGGAGAGGAGGGAGGAGGCGAGGAAGAGGAGGAGGGAGAGGGAGAGAAAGAGGAGGAGAGATGAAAGAGGAGGCGGAGGAGGAGGAGGAGGAGAGGAGCGAGGGGGAGCGAGGAGGGACGAGGAGCAGGAGGAGGAAGCAGGGGAGCAGCGAGCCCGCGCCGCCCACGGCGCGCACGCGCGCGGGGCGGCCGCAGGTGGCCGAGAGCGGGGAGACGCTGTTCTGGACCTACGTCATGATCGGCTGTGTCCTGTGCCCGCGGCCCTCCGCCCTCGTCGTCCTCGTCCTCGTCGTCGCCGTCGTCCTCGTGGTTGTCGTCGTCCTCTTCCTCGTCGTCGTCGTCCTCCTCCTCCTCCTCCGTCTCCTCGTCGTCGTCCTCGTCGTCGTCTTCGTCGCTCCTCGTTCCTCCTCGCTCCTCTCCTCCTCTTACTTCTCCTCCTCCTCCTCCTACCTTTTCCTCCTCTCCTCCTCCTCCTCCTCCTCCTCCTCCTCTCCTCCCTCCTCCGCCTCCGCCCCCTCCCCTCTCCCTCCCACAGCCCTCCTCCTCCTCCCTCCCTCCTCCTCCTCCCTCCTCCCCCCTCCACTCCTCCTCCTCCTCCTCCTCCTGCCTCCTCCTCCGCCTCCCCTCCGCCTCCTCCTCCGCCCTCCTCCTCCTCTCCCTCTCCTCCTCCTCCTACTCCACCTCCTCCTCCTCCCTCCCTCCACCTCCTCCGCCTCCTCCTACTCCTCCTCCTCGCTCCTCCTCTCCCTCCCTCCTCCTGCTCTCCTCCTCACTCCTCCTCCTCCCCCTCCCCCTGCTCCGCCCTCCCCTCCTCCTCCACCTCCGCCTCCTCCCCTCGTCATCATCATCATCATCATCATCATCATCATCATCCATCATCATCAGCATCATCATCATCAGCAGCAGCATCAGAATCAACATCAGCACCACCACCATCAATCACATCATCATCATCATCATCATCATCATCATCATCATCATCATCATCATCATCATCATCATCATCATCATCATCATCATCATCATCTCCCTCCACCTTCTCCTCCTCGTCCTCGTCTCCCTTCTCCTCCTCCCCCTCCTCCTCCGCCTTGGCCGAGGGAGGCGTGCCAGAAAGGGCCTCGCCCTGGAGGTCCTTCGCCTGCTACTGGGGATCAGCCTCTGGGCGGTCACGAAAAAGTAAGCTTAATTTCGCTGAGTTCTCTCATTCGGGGTCGCATTCGTATCAAAAGCGATGTCTCCCGTTCCCTGCCTTTTCCTGGGTCATTCCTCCGGAAATGTGTGGCTCGAGCCAGTCTTCATCTCAGAAATTCAGTTTTCCTTAGTTCCCCCTTCGCTGACTATGACCCCCCCTCCAGGGCGTGCTCGGTGTCTCTCGTGTTTCGATGGTTTTGCGGTGGAAAGCGTGACGCTCCCACACCAAAAGTCAATGGGCGCCCTGTGGGTCTCAGGGTTGGGTTTCTGGTGGAAGGTTTCCTGTGCTCGGGCTCCTGCTGCACGCCGGCGGAAGCTCCGCGGGAGGCGGCGGAAGTAGAAGATGCACCCCCACGGTTCTATGGCGCAGGGCTCCCAGAGCCCGCCATGTGCCAGAGCGGATCCAGCAGTGCCGCGATCCTCTTCCCTCTTCCGCGGCAGCGCTTCGTCCTATCCCTTCGTCCTATCCCTTCGTCCTATCCCGTCGTCCTATCCCTTCGTCCTATCCCTTCGTCCTATCCCTCTGCGCCCAGCTAGAACCCTTCGTCCTGTCCCTGCCCCGAGATCGGGTTCGCTGCGTTTTTTTTCACGCCGGGCGTGTGCGCCCGGCGTCGGGCCTCGGGGCCAGCACGACGGGTCGGTCCGGCTCGAGAGCTGCAGCAGAAAAGGTGGGGTCTGGGCCTCGGGTCGTGATCTTTTGGCGGTGGTGAAATTGGTTCGCAGCGTTGGGCCTCAGGTGCGGAGGGGGAGGGTGGAGGAGAGGGGGGGGGGCAGGGAGCAAAGTACGGCGCCTTCCTCTTCTCCCCCTCCCACCCTCTCCTTCCTCCTGTGCCTCCTCCTCCTCCTCCTCCTCCTCCCTCCCTCCTTCCTCATCCTCCTCCTCCTCACTCCCCTCCTCCTACTCCTCCCCTCCCTTTCCCGCTCCTTCTCCTTTCTCACTCCTCATCATCCTCCTCCTAACCTCCTTCTCCTCTCTCTCTCGCCCCGCCGTCCTCTACCCCCTTCGTCTTATCTCCACTTCCTTCTCATAATCCTCGTCCCTCCTCACTCCTCCCCTCCACCCTCCTCTCCTCCTCCTCCTCCTCCTCCTCCTCCGCACCCCCCATCCGCCGCCCCCGCCCGAGGTACTTCTTCGCGATTATGGCCACTTCCCTCATAGGCAAGTCGGACACCTTCCGGGACGACGAGCTGGCGCAGGAAGTGCGGCTGCGCCTGGAGGGGTGCGCCCCGTCGAGCCAGCCAGCACCACGCTCCAAAACTGCGAGCACGCCCTCCTCGTGGTCCCCCCCTCTGCCCCATCTTCAGAGGAGCCACCGATGCCTCTACTCTTCGCCCGTTTTTCTTTGTTTTAATCCTCCTGGGAGGCCCTCGTCGCCACCGCTCGATTCGCCTCGAAATTCGGTCAGAACGCACCGGGGGAGAGGTCGGGAAAAAAGTGGTATGGGTACCTTTTGATTTCCCCACCTCTCCCTCCCTTCCCAAGAGCCCCTCGGGCCACGCGCAGATCTCAACGGGCGGTTTTGTTCAGAGTTGTTTCGGCCTCTGGGGGCCCTTTCCTGGCCTCGGGGTCGTCAAACGGGAATAACTTGTCCCGGGCAAGTTGTTTGGGGGGCCACGTCACTAAAATATCACGACGTCGGGGGGCTAGATCGGACGACGACGACGCCGACAACCCTGTACTGTCCCTCTTCATGCTCCTCCTCCTTTTCGCCCCTTCAGACGACGCAAATGACGACGACGACGACGACGACGGCGACGGCGGCGGCGACGGCGGTGGCGGCGGCAGCGACGGCGACGGCGATGGCGACGACGACGGCGATGGCAACGGCAACGGCGACGGCGACGACAGTGGCCACCCCGAACACGACATCGAAGCGCCGCGAGGACAACAGCGACAACGACGACGACGACGACGTCGACGACGAAAGCGACGGCGACGGCGACGGAGACGACGACAGCGACGGGGCGTGGTCCCCATCAGGAGCATTTCGGCGACGTGCTGCTCTCGATGATGACGCTCTTCCAGGCGGCGGCGGCGGCGGCGGCGCGCGGCCCAGGGGGAGAGGGGGGAGGCGCCGCTCTCGTGCGGGGCGCCACCAGAGGGCGGGGGCGGGCCTGTCTCCGGAGGTGCGAAGGGCTCGCCTCCCGCGTCCTGGGCAGCATGCAGGCAGAGGTCCTCGCCGTCGCTCCTGGACCACCACGGGCCGCTCCTCGAGCTGCACTCCGGCGCAGCGCCTCGCGCCTCGCTGGTCCCGAGGTGGCCGTCGAAGAGGCCGTCTGGGACGAGAAGGCAGCTGTCCTCGGGAAGGAGTCGAGAGCCCCAGGAACGGCGTGCTCGAGGGTCCGGGGGGGGGTGACTCCGGAAGAGTGGTGGAGGTCCGGCGAGGGCGCCTCCGCTGGCGGAAGTTACAACGGCCACTCCTCTCCCCCCCATTCCTCGGCCTCGCTCCCCCTCCGACCCGATCCTCGCACGGTGTTGCCGGTGGTCCCGAGCCGCTGACGTGGATCCTTGGTCGTTTTGCCCAGGGGCCCAGGCGACGAGCGCACCGCTGGAGTGTGGCTTCCTCTGCCTCCGGCAGCACGGAAGGGTTCGATGGTCTCCACGGTGATCTCGTCAAGGGTGTCATACAGGGAGGAGGGAGGAGGGAGGAGGGTAGATCCCCAGAAGGGTAGATCCCCACAGCGGGCAGCCACAAGAGGATCGAAGGCAATGTTGCCTGGACGCAGCCGAGCTGCACCGATGGGGGATTTCATGACGAGGATAATGCGGCGATTCCCCCGAGTGCACCGAGTCTGGACACAGCCGAGTGACACCCGACCACATTGGAGAATTGCTGTTGGTGAACCTACGGCGCGAGTCAACACAGACTTCAACAGGAGCATCCTCCTCGAGCCTTGCGTCAGCCATGGGCCTGCCGTCGAACCTCACATTTTTCGAGCACGACGTTTGTCACAGGTTGACTTGTTGCACAACGCGGGATGCCACCCTTCCGATCCAACGTTGCTACTGGCTCTTCCCGCAGATCGATTGACTTCTCCGTCCACGGTGTCCCATTCGGGGGTAGGAGGAGGGGGGAAGGCTTCTTAGAAGCACCCCTGCTGCTTCTTAGAAGGCGCGTGCCTTTATCTCTAGATGCAAAAGGCTGGCGCCTTCTAAGACGCAGCCTGCTTCTAAGAGGCCTTCCCCCCTCCGCCTATCCCCGTGTGCGCGCCGCCGAATGTACCTACAGGAGGAACGCAAGGCAGGGCGGCCGCAGCTGCATGCCGCAGCTCTGCCCGACGGCGCCGTGGCCCAGCACGTCGGCTCCTGCTTCTTGGGGCACACGGTGGAGCACAGCACGCCGCAGGAGCCACCCTCCCCATCGGGGAGCAGTCCATGGCATAAACAGCACAAACTCGGAGGTCCGCGCGACTCCCCGACTTGCGATGCTTACAGTGGGGGCCCATGCCAAGAAGCACCCTGCTTGCCTCCAGGGTGCCCTGGATTTCTTGAGTTTCGATGGTTGTGCCATGGAGAGCGTGACGCTCCCACGCCAAACACCGACGGACGTCCTGGGGTCTCGGGCCTGGGTTTCTTGTGGAAGGTTTCTCGTGGGCGGGCCTCCACTGGATGTCATTGCTTGTTCCCCTGGGCCAGCCGCCCTTCGCCTCTCTCTCTTCCCCTCGTGCCGCCGGACAAGTCGCACGCCCCGCTCTCCGGGCTACGAGAGCGCGCGAGCGGATCGTCTCCGCCGCGCTACGACGATCGATGAGCCTCAGGACGCGTGTTGGTCCAACGTGCGTGTTGCCCCCTTCAGCCCAACCAGTAGATCGTTATATCGCCTGCGTCGTGGCGAAGGGCCTCGATGGACAAACACTCGGGAGTCCCCAAACGGGGTGGTGACCACACCGTGCGGTGAGTCGGTGGGGATTCGGGGTCATCGCACGGTTTTGGGATTCGAGGCCCTCTCCGAGGACGTCTCGGGCGACAGGGGCTTCCGGGGTCCTAAGACCGTGCGGTGACGGACCGTGCGGTGAGGTCTTGGGGGATTTCAAGGTCACCGCACGGTATGTCACCGCACCGTTTCGGGACTCCAAACACACGTTGGGGCTAGCACGCGTTCTGAGGATCACCGAGACGAAAAGCGTTCCCCTGAGCCAGCTCAGCAACCATGCCCAGAGGGTTTCCAGCGCCCTGCCGAAAAGGTGTGCTGTCCGCGTGTCTCCGGCCTCGTGGCGGGGGGGGACCCTCGCACTTTGGCGGCGGGACGTTGCAGCTATCCCTGCGCTCACGGGCGCTGACGCGAGGAGAGGCAAAGACATCATGCGCGGAGAGATTCGAGCATCAGCCGGAACATCTTCCTCCTCCTCCTCCTCCTCCTCCTCCTCCTCCTTCTCCTCCTCCTCTTCCTCCTCCTCCTCTTCATCCTTATCCTCCTCCTCCTCCTCCTCCTCCTCCTCCTCCTCCTCCTCCGCCTCCTCCTCAGATCGTCGCAGGACTTCGTTCGGCGGCGAGCGGGCGGGGGAAATGAGAAAGAGCAGGCCTTCTCAGAGAGCGGCGGGGCTCCTCAGGGGAGGCCCAGACGACTCCTCAGAAGGCCAGGGGACAAAGCCGACGAGCCTTCTGAGGACGCTGCCTCCTTCCCCCTCCCCCCCCCTCGCGGGGCTCGGTGTCGACTCCTCCGATGCGATTCGGTTCGGTTTCGATGGAGTCCGATCCCGATTCGATTCGGCTTGGGATTCCGATGTGGCTTCCGATTTCTTATGGGACGTAGGCTAGCCTGCCGATTTCTGCCGATGCGACTCTTCCCGACCTGGCTGCCGATCTCCGCCGAAATCCGACTCGTTTCGACCGCCGATCCGACTTGTCGATGCGATTCTCGGCTCTCCTGCCCTCGGGCGCCGCCAGTTCACGCGCGGAGAGAGTCGAGCAGCAGTCGAAACCTCCTCCTCCTCCTCCTCCTCCTCCTCCTCCTCCTCCTCCTCCTCCTCCTCGGCCTCCTCCGCCTCCGCCTCCTCCGCCTCCTCCTCCTTCTCCTCCTCCTCCTCCTCCTCCTCCCCCTCCTCTCCTCTCCCCTCCCTCCTCCTCCTTCCTCCTCCTCCTCCTCCTCCTCCTCCTCCTCCCTCCTCCTCTCCCCCCTCTCCTCCTCCTCCTTCCTCCTCCTCCTCTCCTCCTCCTCCTCCTCAGCCTCCTCCTCCTCCTCCCCCTCCTCTTCCTCCTCCTCCTCCTCCTCCTCCTCCTCCTTCTCCTCCTCCTCCTCCTACTCCTCCTTCTCCTCTCCTCCTCCTCTCCTCCTCCTTCTCCTCCTCCCCCCCTCCTCCTCCTCTCCTCCCCCCCCTCCTCCTCTCCTCCTCCGCCTCCTCCTCCTCCTCCTTCCTCCTCCGCCTCCTCCTCCTACTCCTCCTCCTCCTCCTTCCTCCTCCCTCCTCCTCCTCCTCCCCTCCTCCTCCTCCTCCTCCTCCTCCTCCTCCTCCTCCTCCTCCTCTCCCCCTCCTCCTCCTCCTCCTCCTCCTCCTCCTCCTCCTCCTCCTCCTCCTCCTCCTCCTCCTCCTCCTCCTGCCCCGAGGGGGCCCCTCCCGTAGGGGAGGGGTCGGGACCCCAGGGTCCTCCTGGCGCAGGCGGGGAGCGCCGGGCCCGAGGGGCGAAAATCCCCCGCGCCCCGGGGGACGCCGCCAAAGTGCGGTTTCCTTCCCCCGGGGGGGTCGCCAGGCCCCGTGTGCTTCCCCAGGGCGGTGCTGGGTCCCCCCCAGCACTCGCCGCCCTGGGGCGGGGCTGGCGGCTCGTCTCCGTCGTGTCGCTCGTCCGTCTCGTGTCGTTCGTGTCGCGTCGTTCGTTTCGTCCCCCTGTCGTGTCGCGTCGTGTCGTGGTCCCGGGGCCGACAAACGCGGCCACCCATGGAGTGGGTGGTGGGTAGGGTTGGCGCTGAGCACGGCTCGCGCCCCCTACCCCGACCAGGGAGCGCGGAGCACGGTCTCCCAGCGCTCCCTGGTCGCGCTTAGGTCGCGCCACGGGGGCTTGGCCCCGACCGTGGCGCGGCCTGCGCCGTTTTTGGTGCAAATCTCGCTGGCACTCGCCACGCCAGCGAAGTCATGTGGCTGATCATGGGTCGACCCAAAAAAAAAAAATCCTCCTCCTCCTCCTCCTC